GTTCGGTCTTCGAATAGGCCTCTTGGTTGATTTTTGTTTCGCTGCTTTATGTCACTTTACAATGTGCAGTTCAAGCTCCTAAGTGTTGTTTCATTCCCTGGTAGGGTGCCGATGGTCCTCCCGGTCCACAAGGTTTGTCTGGTCAGCGTGGTATTGTAGGTCTTCCTGGTCAGCGTGGAGAAAGAGGTTTCCCTGGTCTCCCTGGTCCTTCTGTAAGTATAGCATGACATTACATAAAACTGACTCCTTCCATTTAAAATGTAATTAGTCCTAACATCACCTTACTGAGAGAAGTGATTGACTCCGCATTGGGTCATGTTGTGCTCTCAGTAATGGTAAAGCTAGTCAGACTCAACAATGCCCATGCTCGTAAGATCCAGAGAGTCATTGACTCGGTAGTACCAATTGATAGGAGTTAGCAAAAACTAGTTAATTATAGAAGCCAAATGGAACATGCAAAATGACTTGAGCAATATTAAAACAGAATGAAGTTATATGCAGGACAAAGCAGTCCTGTAATAGAAACAACACTGAGATATGCTCTGTCATATATAATGTATTGACATCTGTCCTGTAATACAAAGTGTACAGAAAGCAGTTTGTAGCATATACAGTACAAAAAAACAGCCCTGCAATGAATATGGAAGTGAGCATTCCCATATATATGCAATACAGAGAATGGGTGGAGATCAGTCCTGACTATACACAGGATAAAAAACAGACTATCGTATAAATACAATACAGAAACCAGCCCTGTAATATACAGGAGAGAGACTAGCCTAATATGTAATGTGTCAAGACAAACTTTATAATGAGTATATTACAGAGAGTAGCCAGCAATACCTTCAGTGTAGAGACTAGCTCTTTAATATATACAGAAGACACCAACTGTACACAGAATAGAGACAAGTCATTTAAAATGTACAATTTAAGAATTTTAACAAAGGCATTAGATATTAATCTAATGTGTACAGCTTGGAAGCCAACTTGCATAATATCAACTCCAGCTTAGATACCAAGACCATAGTAAACACAGCATATAGAAACTGATCTAAAATTTAATGAAACCTGAAAAATAAAGAGGCCAGTCCCCAAAGTAGAAATTTAGAAACAAAGCCAGTAATACAGAAAATCAAATACAGACTTGTGATATACAGACATTGGCTCTGCAGTACAAAATAATAGAGATTAAACGAATATCTATAGTATAGGTATCAACCCTGTGATAATAGATACAGATCTGTATTGCAGGCAGTTTGCAGACTCCCGTAATAATTTCTGCAATGTAGGGACCTATCCTGCCACCATGTAATATATGTAGCATAGGGAACAGAACTATAATATATGCAATATAGAGAAAAGCCCTTTAAACAGAGTCGTAACCAGCATATAATTATGAGAATGGGTAAGAGACCCCTCTAATGAATTATACATACCAATACAATACAAATACCACCCAGTAATGCATGCAGTGTAGACATTAGTCTGTAATGCAAAGTAATTATTATAAAGAACAAATTTTTACCTAAATTCTTCATAATGCTGTCAAAGACTATTCCTGTAATATGTATGACATAGGGAGCAGCCCTGTAATATGGTCAACATAGAGATCAGTTCCATGGTATATAGTGTTTAAAACACTCCTGTTATGCATATAGTGTAAAAGTAACCCTCTAATCAATCCGAAATGGAGAACAGCACTTGTATATGGATAGTACGGAAACCAGCATCATACTGTTTGAAAAATAAAATCCAGTCTGGACCAGGTATCTATATTAGGTATACTGAAATTTAAAATAAGAGATTAGAGAATGCATGGAACAGAAAACAGCCCTACAGTAACTACAGTACGATATAACACAATGACCAGCCCTACATTTTATAGAGGTAGGTAATGTAGAATGCACAGGATCAAGACTGGCCCTGTAAGATATATAGTATAGAGGTGAGTCTTGTAGAATCTACAATATAGAGACTGACCCTAAAGATTGTGCATTATAGAAACTGGTTCTATACAGAATGTACAGTGTAGAGACCAGTCCTTTAGTTTCTATGGAATAGAGACTAGCCCATAAATTATATAGTACAGAGGCCAGCCCTGTAGAATGTATAGCAACTGTACCTATAGATTGTACAGCATAGAGACCTGCTTATAGAATGCATAAAATTGAGTCCAGCCCTGTAGAATGTATAGTATAGAGAACAGCCCTGTAAAACATGCAGTATAGAGACAAGTTGTGTGGATAGTACGGTATAGATACTGGCCCTATAGAATGTACAGAATGTACTGGTCTTATGAAATGAACAGTACAGAGACTGGTCCCATGAAATGTACAGTTTAGAAACTCCAGTATTCGGTCCAGCCATTGAGAATGTAATAGTATTGGGTTCAGCCCTATGGAATAGAGACTGGCTAAGTAGAACATACAGTATGGGATTCAAAGCTGTATGTTGTATAGTATAGATAAGGACCCTGTAGAATGTACAGGATAGAGACCAGCTATGTAGGATATATAGTATAGAGCTCATATCTATAGAATGTACAGTATAGAATAGTCCTATAGAATATGCAATATATGATCTAGCCTTTTAGAATGTACAGTATGAGCCCTGCAGAAAGGCCCCATAAAATGTGTAGGATAGAGGCAGACCCTATAAAATACACTATACATAAAATGGCCCTGTACAATGTACATTACACATGCAACCTCTCCGAATGTGCAACGTTCTGTCTGTCCTTAGGAGGGTGGGCGGGGGTATAACACTGGTTTGAGACTTGTAGAATGTACAATATAGAGATCAACCCCACGGAATATACATTACAAGTCATACCCTGTAGAATGTACAATGAAAGGTAAATATGAAGGTAAATAAAATGTACGCATAGTCCAGCCCTGCGTGATACATAGACCAGTTGGTAGAAAGTGCAGGTTAGAGACCAGACCTGTGATTTTGCAGTATGGATACTAGCACTGTAGAATGTACAGTATACATGTTAACCCTATACAACTTACAGAATAGGGAAAAGTCCTGTACAATGTACAGAATAGAAACATTCCCAATAGAACATATGTTACAGAGACCAGTCCTGTAGAATGTACAGTAGAGAGACTCACACTTTACAATTTAAGGTAGAGAGACCAGCCCTATCGGATTTAAAGTGTTGAAAATAGCTCCACAGAATATATAATTTAGAGGCCAGCCCTATAGAATGCACAATTTTTAGAGATCAGCCCAATAGAATGTACAGTCCAGAGACTGAACCCATGCACTGTACAGTTTAGAAATATACAACATGAAGGCTAGTTTTATAGAATAGACAGTAGCAGGATCAGCCCTTTAGAATATACAACATAGCGACCAGCCCTGTTGAATGCACAGTGTCGGGATCGGTTCTATAGATCATAAGGTACAAGACCAGCCCTAAAGAATGCAAAGCACAGAGATTATCCCTATAGCATATACAATGCAAGGACTGACCCTATAAATTGCACAGTATAGGCACCGGCATTATAGACTATAAAATATAAGATCAAGTCTGTGGCATGTTCCTTTATACCCTGTGCAGTGAACCACATTGTCTACTGGATCACTGCGTAGTTTTCATATTGTGTCATGGATCGCAGCTTGCTGTGGATCACACTGAATACTGCTTAGGAATGCATACTGGATTACAATTAAGTACTGGAGCATGTTGAGTCTTATCGTTTCACTGAGGACTGTATCTAACTTATTGAAATAGTAATTATGTTGTGTACTAGATCATGTTGAGTATGGGTCATGGTGGTTATAAAATCACAATATGTGGTAGCTTAACATTTTCAAGCTAATGACCAAGACTCAAACTCTGAAAACTGTTGTGATCTGTATTGTGTCCATTGAAATTTATTCTGTTAGACTGTGCAGTGAATGTTTCATAAAACTAGGTTCTTCACACCATCAGCCAGCAGATACTGGTCAGGGGCTATAATTAAGAGCAACTTAAAGGCTAGCAATCACTGTTTTTGCACAAATTAAGGTTTAAATGAGCATTACATAAGGTTTGTAAGGGCCATGAAGCACAAGTTGGCTGAACTTCTTTTCGTTGCGAGATAACATGCGCTATAATGATCGCAAAATGCAGCATCCAATGAAAGCAAAGCATTGATAATCATTGCCAGCATCCTTTTTGTTTTTATAGAAAAGAGAGGTTTGTATACTGCCTTACCATGTCTCACAGAAACACCTCAAGGCGCTTAAAAAGCAATGGTTTACTTTTGGAGTGCTGTGACGGTTAACGTTGGCAACTGCGGCAGCCAATTAGCAGACAGCAAATAAGGTGAATGATCAGCTAACCTGTTTTTGGTGGTGTAGGTCCGGCGCTAAAGCAGCTGCTTAAAGCATTGAAATTGCGCGTGTCAGCCCAGTGCAGCAATCCTCTGCGGACAATGGACTGTACCAGGCACAGGAAGTACCATTTTGACAACCAGGCGCTAAAGGCTTTAATAAAAGGACTGGGCGAACATATACCTGTACGGAGGGCCACTCCTCCTCCAAACACCTGATTCAGCAGGTATGGAAAGAAATCGTGGAGCACGTAAACGCTGTCTCCAAGATGTCAGGAAGTGGCCAGCAGATCTGAAGAATTCGGCTAAGGTAAGTCAATAATATTAATATGCACCTGCCATAAATGGACATGCAAGAAAGTCAACTCTGGCAAACTTCTCATCCTTTTGTGCTTCTCTATGAAAACTGGTATGAGGAGGTGAACCAGTGCAGCACTGCCATGAGATACAAGGGCAACGAATGGGGGTATATATATATGTATATATATATGTATAAGAGAGATGTAGTTCTGAAGTGCTTCTGCAAATTTGTGTGTACTGCAACAATTCCAAAAGGGGAGTTAGACAATGACTGTTTAGAAGTGAACCAAACAGGGTGATACCCAGTTAATGAGAATATCTGGTATGTCACAGAAACTGTACAACTGCATGACATTGTCAGTGCTCTGTGTACATTCAATCTACCAATACTGTTCTTCTACTTGCAGGACAAGATGGCCTTCAATCAGCGAGAGCAGTGCTGCACTGGACCCAGCCAATACAAGTCCCCTACCCTAGCCGAGAACGCCACTTTGGAAATATTACGCGGGGAGAGTATAGAGGGAGTGGGGGACGACAAAGCTGCAAGCTTCGAACGAGTTCATGGCTAGTACTTTAATGTTCATGTTGTACCATTTTGTCCTTTTGAATGACTGTCATTCAGATACATGCTCAACCTAAGTAACAATGCCGATAATACCATGGAATGACACGTTATCTTCTCTTTTCACAGAAATGGAGAAATAGAGTGTAGCAAGAAGCAGTGTCTGTGAGAAAGGCAACAGCTCACAGCACTCTGTATCACAATCACTCTCTGTCAAACGTCAAGAACAGCTACACAACTCATTGGATGTAGGTGGTGAGGTTCAGGAAGGGTTGCAGGGTAAGTCACAACTCACAGGTGAGGAGGAACAAGTGATGTTGGCTATAGCAGACCAAGTGTTTGCTGATCGAAAGTCCAGCACGGTGAACCTCATGGGATCTGCTGACGAGCAGAAATTGCTGTCTGAGCAGATTATCCAGCTGAGGCACGAGTGTGAGTGGAACATTCACTGCAAGATCTGGAAAGGATTGTGGAGGAGTACACTACCTAGATCTGTGCAGTCATGGACATGTGGTTGTCTGCACTGCAGTAGTCCACAGAGAGTCTGCTAATTCGAGAGGCATCTGCAAAGAATTTCTAGAGTGCAAGTCATAGGCGTAGTGGGGACATTTCTCATGAATGTTCACATGACCACCATAGAAACCTTTGACTCCAGTCTGGAGGATGCTGCTTTTTTTGCTAGCTTCAGCACACACTTGGAGACTGGATGCAGACAATGTTTTCAGTAAGGATTCACAGACTTTCCAGCTGCCCAAAGTTCCATTCTCAAGTCATTGGACACTTTGAGGGATTGCCCAGTGGAAGGGAGCAGTTAAACAGCAGATATTGGCTCGAACGATCCGGGCCATTAACCATCCCGATACAAGTGGCAGTAGATATGCCAGACACTAAACAGGAGCAGGCAGCAAGACCAGCCGTAGTCAAGATGAGCTGTACACAGAGCGACTGCAATCCTTACAACATGGAAATCCTGTGCACTACGATGGGACCGAGCAGTGAGACAACATGCTGACTCCTTCCAAGGGAATCACTTGAGGAGAAGACCAGGTCAGCCAGACACTCTGCACCACAACAAACCACAGGTACAAAGCTGACTACATTCAATGAACACATAATGCTTGGAATAAAAACACTGCATTTGATTTTTACAATGGTCTGAGTGCTTCTTTATTGAGTCAGTGTCATTTGGTTATGCTAAAGGCATTATGTAAATATATGTAGTTTTTGTTAATTTCAGTCAGAACATTACAGCATCCTCCATTCAGGTGGCAATAGATGATGTTTGAGGATCTGCAGCTGGGCTTAGGGTGCATGGTTTCTGCACAGGGACTGCAACCGCATTCACTGGAAGACACATTTAGATTGAAGGTCGTATCCCAACTTTCCCTGCAGAAGCTACTTCTGTGTTTGCACCCTCCAGCTTTTGTTTTGCCATGTCTTTGCCACTCTGTTCCTCCTCGATGGTAAGATGTCTTTGCAAACTAAGAGCACAAACAAAATTGCACGCACTCTTCTCACATTGTTCCCAGTGTTTCGTTGTAAATAAAGTACAGCTTCTAAAGTACAGTCGTTGTTGTTATCTTGGCAAATGTGGCTGGCAATTTTCAGCACAGGGAGCCCGCACAAATGGCGAATGAGATGCACGACCAGTTAATCTGCTTTTGGTGGTGTTGATTGACATATTAGTAATGGCAAGAATGTCAGGAGCATTCCCTCCTTTAAGTGGTTCCATGGACCTTTTGCATCTGCCTGAATAGTTCAGCAATCCCTTAGTACGGCATTGAGGTGTTCACCTCAACCATTCACTCAAGAGTGGTGCTTGAACCCGTAAGCTTTGGGTTTAAAGAATGGAATGCCATCAACTGAGACAAACTGACAGAGCAAAAATTAATATTGTTTATGGGAACCTGGGATGGCTGTATTGCAAGGTATCGCCTGATCAGTGGAGATATCTGCTTTAAGATCCCAGTAGTATGTTCTGTAATTAACTGGAGCCTCATTATACCCATGGTTCGGCTGTGGTTACTGCATGGATATCATAAACACAGTTTGCAGAGTGCTCTGGGTCTCTCAGGAACTATCTTCCCACTCCTCCTGCCCTCTTCAAGTAAAGCTGGCTTAAACACAACTGCCTTGAAGTCAAGGCCTGAAGAGAATTCTCAGGCAGCCTGTTCTCACTCCCTGCTGAGGAGTGGGCTGCGACTCAGAGGGAAGAAAATCCCTTTCTGTTCCATGTCAGGCACAGCCTTGTGGACAGGGGCTGCCATCGGCGAGCCCTGGAGAGAGTGAAATCCAGCAGCCACGACAGATTCTTCTGCTTGGTCACACCATGCTGCTGCTGCTGGTTTGTGATTCCTTGCTGGAACCTGCTGAATAATACACCTGCCACTTCCTGTGGTCAGTAAACTGGCCTAGTCCTCACCTGGGAGCACTGAACAAAGAAACATCAAAAGACCTTGGACACTTTGGTCACTGGCAATGCCATACAAATGTGTCTAGATGTTGGCATTGAATTGCTGATGGCACCGCTCTGTCGTGGCCTCCGAATTTACTCTTGGCTTCCTATGCCAACCGTTCACAGGTCATTGTGCCTGGGTTGGTAGCCTGAAATGTCGAGAACCAGTACAACATGACAGTTCTCCTCCTGGGTAATCTTACATCCAGGTCACTTAGATCCTTGCTGCTCCTGCTCAACGAATGGATTAAGAGTGCGCTGCACAGACCACACTCCTGAAGTGACCAACGCCTAGAGCAGGGATCTTAACATTGATGCCAACAGTCATTTCCAACATTAAGATATTTGAAAAAAACAACCACCAAATATATTCAGATATGTAACCGCCATTTTGCTTTCCCTTCTAGGGTGAGCCTGGCAAACAAGGAGCACCTGGTTCTGCTGGTGACCGTGGCCCCCCTGGTCCTGTTGGTCCACCTGGTCTCACTGGTCCTTCTGGAGAGCCTGGACGTGAGGTAAGTCAGTCTTTTGCGCTGAGACTCTGTAAATGTGTTATCTTTGTCTCTGTGTTCTACTGTCCCTTCTGACTGTCTTGTATCTCCTTACAGGGCAACCCTGGCGCTGATGGTCCTCCTGGTCGTGATGGTGCAACTGGTATGAAGGTAAGAGAAATGATTGGTACCTTAACTTCGGAGAGAATTAGCGTTTGATTTTTCCAAAGACTTAAAGATAAAAACGTTTGCTAATCACTTTTTTGAGTAGCAGGAAATTAGTTACAAAATATAATTCCCTCTGACCCAATAACCTGCTTGAATCCCAACAGTAGAAGACCACCCAGACGCAGAGCTGTGTGGTCAGACCCCTTAGTGACACTTTGAACTGTGAACCCCTATTGAATGGAAACTGACTGTGCATTGGCTTCTGTTTCAATTGTCACTCTTAATGACTGAGGATGAGATCCATGTTAATATTTAAGGCCAGGGTGGCTGAAAGTAATAGCAATCCAGGGATATGGGAACAGGATAGGGATCTGTAATTTAGATTAGCAAGAACATTGAGGTTAAACACCAAGACAGACTGGTCAGGCCAAATAGCCTGTTTCCATGTTGTAATGTAATTCAATGAAACTGTCTGAGCTCCTATGATAGAGGACTCTTCCACTTTACCAAAAATGAACTTTTAACTCTAATCAGCCTGAGGTGGGTTCGAACCAAAGGCCCAGGGAGAAAGGAGAAACACTAATCTACTGCATTCAGCAACGAAATACTTAAACATCCAAGTCGTAAACATTAGTTACCATAAGGCTTCATCTTTGCCTTTTCCAATCAAAGCACATGCAGAACTCTTCACCGTTTTTTGAAATGTGGGAATTTGAGAGATTGAATGTTACTCTCAGGATACCAACATGACAACATTGCCATTGGTAGCAAAGAAAATATAATGAATATACAGTAGTTAAAAGCTGTCCAAACAGATAATTAGAGATAGTAGGAACTGCAGATGCTGGAGAAACAGATAACTAGCTAGTTTCCATAACAAATTAAGTGAACAACTGAAGAATATAATAGCTTAACAGTAACAGCTAAATAACTCACTGTAACAGACTTGCTGTTTGTTAGCTTTTCAGTTAACGTTGTTGTGCTTCCAAATAAAATCAGTGTTGAACTTTATTTCATATCCTGTTACTGTGTTCCAGTTCTCTGAGTTGGACTGTAATATGTGGTGAGTTCACCTTTGTAAATGTGTACATCTAGTGCCGATGACAGACACAGGGAAAGGATCTCTTACAAGAAATGTTTGCTCCCAGGCAATGTTGCCAGTGGCGAGCTGGGGAAGAATTCCATTACTCTGACATAGGGCCAGTGCTGTGTGGAGAGAGGAGTGGGTCCATGTACCACCATCAGGCAAAACAAAAGAGACTTCTTGTACTGTACCTCAAAATCTGTGTCAGATAGACAGGCATTCAAAGAAACCCAGTCATTACAAGTTCCAGAGAAAGATACAGCCGGTGCCAAGCAGGAACAGGGGTCATTTATCACGGGATCATTGGCTACCCGAATTGTGCAGCTGATGTAACAATTTTGTGTCAGGCTTGTCTGCGAGGGACTGCCAATGATGATGATGTGTCATGCTATGGTCAATGGTGTCTGATTTAAAGAGACCTTTGAAAACATTTCATATATTGAAAACTTATTGATCATATTTTTACTCAGTCTTGGAATGTGGGCATCGCTGGCTGGGCTGGCATTTATTGCCTGGCCTTGATGGCTGAAACTGATGACTTGCTGGGACATGAGAGGACCAGAGCGGGTTTTATGACATGGCTGCCATTAGGCAAGCTTCTTTTTCCAGATTTTTTTTTTAAGCAAATCGGATTTCACCACCTGCCATGGTGGGACTCAAACCCAGGTCTTCAGAACATTAATGGGGTTTGCTGAATTATTAGGCCAATGACATTACTACTCCACCAATGTGTTCCCAGCCTTGGAGTGCTGGAACCAGAGAAGTTTGTAGCATTGAAGGAAACTATTCAGCCTATTGTGTTGCTACCAGCAATCCAAAACCAATTTCACTT